GTGGCACAGACTGGAGATTAATAACTGCAGTTCATCCTGCTGCTCGGGGACTGAAAACTTAACTATCCCTGGAGATTTCAGTGCTCCTGGTTTTCTCAGACCGTAAAAGACAGGAAGGAACTGCAATGCATTACCAGCTTTTGGAGTGAAAAATGAATGTTTAGAAGGAATTTCAACACTGTGCCTTTCCCAAGATCCCATCTCTTTCCCCTATCAGTCCTGTTATATTTTTGTTTTAGGCCACAAACATAATTTCTTTTTCCATTCAAATCATGTATATTTTAATGAGTTCTCCCCACAAACAAGAGTTGCTTTTAATGATTATAATAATTGGGACACAGGGAAATACCACTGCTAAATGGCTGAAGAGCAGTGTACTTAGAAGGAGATTAAGACATTCTTGGTTCTGAACTGTTTGTGGCTTCTGGTGATCAGGGCAGAATCCTGACTTGTCCAAAGTTAGTGGCAAAACTGCTGATTTCGCATAGTTTTAACAAGCAGCCTAACACACAAATTATATTCCCAGAATGATTTCAGGCTACTATTTTTAGCTTAGCTCACTTCCCTTATCCCCAAGGTAATCTAAAAGGGATACGTTCATTTTTGTTTTGGAGTACGTAGTCTTGCCCAAACAGATATCCTACGTCAGAGACATCCCAGGTGTCACAACTTACCTGTGAAAAGCCCCTTTTTTTTTGCCTCCAACTGTGGTGATTCTTGTGTGACAGGAATGGTAAATGCTCCACAGGTTTGCAAGAGTTAGAGACCACCAGCTCTTGGAGTGCTCAAACCTTGCAAACTCTGTGTAGAAAAATGGATGAATGATACAAGAAAGTTTTCCTCATATCTCTGATTTGAAGCTTCAGAGACAACAGTATTAACTGGTCTGTCAAGTTATGTGTTAAGATCAGTCTTCAGTGTCTTTCTTGAGAAGTTGGATTCTTCCTTGCCAAGACCAGCGAACGCAGCTCCTTTGGAGAGAATCGTCTGCCAGCGAACCCCAATTTGCAGCCCCCAGTGAATAGTAAAGTAACATGTAATTGCAGTCCCATATTGTAATATCCTATTCCTGTGAGCACACAGGCCATGAATTTTTTTGGAGAAGAGGTTACACTCTTGTCTTCAAATAAGACAAGAGTCTTCAGGACTTAAATATGCTTTTTTTTTTTTTTTAAGGAGTAATGTACATTAGGCCCTTTTAATGACAAAAATCAAACTGCGGAACAGAGCAAGCAGTTGGTCACAGCTTCTGCAGCGATTTAGCGGCAGAACCGGAGCGAGTCCGTAAGCCTCAAGTGTCACCCTACCCGCTACGCAGATGATCAGCCTCTTCCTTAACGCTGAGAATAGCTGAACACACGCGATGCACACGCCAATTCAAGAACACATCTTTAGGCTGTATCCAACCCTATATATATTTAAGCTCAGCTAATCCTGGAATTTTTAAATAGAGACATTTATAGGTAAGATTATATATGTAATTATGGCCTAAGGTCTATGCTTTGGAATAGAAGTCGGAGAGAGTAAACTTACCTGCTCAAAATGCTCACAAGTGGGCACAGCTGGGAGCAAGAGGAAGAAAAGTACTTTTTCATATACTCTTTTTTAATCAAGAGCCTTAACTGTTTTGGATTTGACTCACAGTACCATGGGGACAAAATCAATACTGGCTATTAGACCACAACTTCTCATCCCAATATTCAGAGACTCTGATTTTAATATATTTTGACCCATTCTGTTTATTTTTTTTTCAGCCAAGTGAATTAATGATGAATGATGCAAAACTTTGTCTGATTACATCCTTGTGGGAAGAAAATTCAATAATATTATCCTGCAATAAGTTATCTCAAAAGAATGTTACAAAAATACCAACTTATTAAATCCACAGTAACATCAACCACTGTCTAGGGGGGAAAAATATAAAATGAGCAGCAAATAATCAAGTTGCCAAAAATAGGAAAAGAGTTTGGAATGGTTTCACACAACCTGTGAAATGGCTGGTATTTTTTGTATTACATGGAAACAATCCCTAGGGAAAAGCAAAACCAGTTACAGAGGACAAAGGTTAGGCTTTATTCATTAGTATTTGATTTTTGGTGCAGTATCATTGCAAGCAGTAGGGGGAAAGATTTGCTAAGGTATTTAGGTACCTAAAGATGCCTAGCAGCATTTATAGCAGCATCTAAGTAGGTTAGGTGCCTAATTCCCATTAACTCCATCAGCATCTTTAAGCTGCTAAACATCTTTGCCAATCTGGCCCCAGGGTCTGAGCTGGCAGGTGTGTCTATCGACACTGGTGGGGCTGTGTGTGTTTGCAGCAGCGGGAGCACAAGCTCCTGCTGCTCCTCTGAGCAGAACTGACCCCCCACGGGGACCTGTAGCCAGAGGGGCCTTGAGGTCTGAGCCTGTATTTGCCTCCCGACTTGAGCTAGAAGATTTTGAAAGTCACTTGCCCACTGTTTGCAAAGAAACCGCTGAATTTTGCTGCTAGACTTGGGATAAGCGTTAAGATCTTTAAGTAGCTCCCAGGGAGTTTAAGCTGAGCGTTAAACACCCTGTGACTTCCCACAGAAGTCAGGATTCCGCAGGCCAAGTCATAACTGAATTTGCTGAGCTTTAAGAGAGCCTTTCCCACTAATTAGTGGAAACAACCTTGACTATTTAACAACCACAAATTGTATTCTTAAAAGGATTTTCCTAGCCTTCAGTAAATGGCAATAGACACTCTCTGACTTGTCAGAAACAGGCCTAAAGAAATACCACATCATTTGTTTCGGGTTCATAAAACTGCCTGTCATGAGAGGCATTTAAATAGATGGTGAACATTACGTGGGATAGATCAACCTGTGTTAAACACTTAGCTTGACTGAAGCTGTCTCTCGGTATTCCAGCTTGTCAGCTTTATCTTCCACAGCAAAACACATACAGTGAACTGCAATTTCTTCACTGTGAAAACCCACTTCTCTCTGGCAATGAAGTAACTCCAGTGGGTGTTATGGAGAGGATAACTTGCTAACTCCAGTTTGTGCAAGGGGTAGATGAGGCCATGCAACAGATGGTGCCTATGAACCAAACATATTCTGATGTAAAGCAGCTAATTAAGAGGAGCAGTTACAGATAGGAAGTTTTAGGGAAAAAAGAAATTGCCCATTTATTATATTTTATTCTAAATAATTTCTAATTGCTTAATTTAAAGGAGAGACCAAAGCCACTAACCAGTTCCTAGATAGGATTCCATTAGCTTCTTAAAATCCAATTCTGTGGAGTATAAGTGAAACGTGAGGCTCATTGAAGACCAGCAGGGACACCTGCCCGCTACGCGAGGACGTGGGTGATGCTGGTGGAAGGGCAGGTTAATGTGCATATATTTATCTGGGGGGCTGATGAAAGGATCATCTAATTTATTGCGACACTGAGTCGTGATACTAGGAAGTTATTTAACACCTACTAAATTGAGTATCTAATAGGCCTGTGTAGATACTTGTGTCAAGCTACTTGCTTTGATCATGGGGCATGGGCTGTTTAAATTTACTGGAGTATCTGTAGTGTTTGCAGGGTAGCATGCTGCGAGTATTCAGGTATGGATTAACACCAGGGTGTACCAGAACAGTATTTCTCACAGTATCACCTTCACACAGAAAATAAATGCAGGTGGAGGTGTCAATTTTAGCCATTATTTTAAAGGATTATCAAGTTGAACTTGCATATTTTTCCACTTGTTTTATTGTGCAATAAAAATGAAAAGTAGCTGTTTATAGTGTTGCATGTTTTGACAACTGTTCTTTACAAATTCTTCTTAAATTATCCTAGAACCATTTTCTCAACATACACCGTACAAGTTAATCAAAATAGTTTTGCAAACTATTTCACAGAAAGGGAGAGAGAAGGGGAGACAGAGAAATAACCTAGGAAACAAGTATGCCAGCTTACAAAAATAGATGAGAACATTTGGAGATTGTAGGGATGAAAATGTAGTCTCAGTAGTGGAGAATGTGAACTAGTAGATTATCTGAAGAGGTAATACTTACCGGAGGAGAAGCTAGATGGATGCAGGGATCCATACCTAAAGTGTCTTTAATTTCTAGGCAAAATTATAAGCGAGAGGGAGAAACTCGTTGTCAAGTTTCTGAAATGTTCTCAGCTGTGGGCGGAGAGAGCAAGCAGAGCAGGCGGGATGCCAGCGCTCTGCCTGGGTTTCTGCCCTCTCGTGCGCAGCAGTGCGCGTTGCGTGCCTGGAGCCGGAGATCATTCCAGCTCCTCGGGGAGGGCAGGCAGGACGCGCAGGGCTGTCCTCCTCCGAACGATCCGACAGGAGGACAGCTCTGAATTGCTGTTAGCCTCTAGAGTCTCTGCTGATGAAGCCTGCCTGCTCCGCAGGCTCTAGCTCTGTCCCTAAATAGCTTCTCTTATGTGAATCACTCAGCTGGCTGTCACAAAGCCACTAGCAGAATAAGCCAAGACTGTGAGGTCAGGTGGAGATTCAACTTCTCTTGCACGGAACTGCTAAACTGGAGTCTACATGTGATCTGCCTATCATAAAAGTATGAACTGAAAGCTCCTGTCATATAGAAAGCACCCTAACTGCTGCTAGGACTACAGTAAATACTGAAATCCATAATCTTATATATCTGCTGTGTATTATGAGTCTGGACCACTTTCAGAAAGGGATTTAATAGTAATCTAAATAATATCTCGAGTGTGTAACGCTGCACCTGAAGCACGTGCTTTGCACCTTCAGCTTGTGTTCTGGGGGAACAGAGAGGAAAGATGAAGCATGTGAGAGCCACTGGAGCAAGACAGGGCTGAAGCATTGCCACCTTAAGGGCTACTGCTGTGTACGAGGAGTATTCTCAGAAATTAAGTTACTGTGGACGTGCTGAGCAAGCTCTTCTTCCTAATCCACACCACCTGTGCAGATTCGTGGAAAAATTGGTTCTGACCTAGTTAAAAATACAAAACAGTTTTTCTTATTTGCTTATTGAGTATATCCTGACACCTACTTCCAGCAAAGTCTGCAAAAAGCTCTTTTTCTGAGCTGTACTTCAGATCACTCCTGTACCTCTTCCTCCACCAGACCATTTTTGCACAGCTCACAGGCCACACGCAATAGATTGCTGCACTGCTGTTCAAAGAAGAGGCTAAAGTGTAAATTATTTTTGATTCAATAAGGCCAACGGCTACAGTGTAGCTGACTCGGTGCAGCTCTGTAATGCAAAGGTTGTAGAAAGAGTGGTAGAGCCATGGGCCTACTTACGAGTACACTGATTTTTAAATCCTACCTGCCAGAGACAGACTCCAAAAAAGGTGACACTGCAGCCTCCTTCTTTTGTATCATCCAAGAGAGAGGAGCTGGGGTGGGGAAAGGTGTCTGAATCTTTCCAGGCAAGTTCCCAAGTCCGTAAGTGCAGGTTGCAGCCCAAGCCTTCCTCACATGCTTAGAGTACTGCCCTCCTCCTTGGCCTTAAGGTCACACATAGTTTTCCTTTGGCATATTCACTAACGCTTCAGCGAAATTGCAGGTCCTTAGCTCACTCATTAGTCAAAAGCTACCATATATATAATACATACACATATATATACACACATGTATATGTATATACACACCCACGCATAGAGTCTCCAGATGCTCCAGCACAGAATCAGGCATTGGGCAGAGCAGGCATCAGATGTAGTGCTGTAAATAATGAGATTTAAAGTATCCTGTGCTAGTGGGGTACCGTGAAACCCGTTCATTAGGTTGGAGCAGTGAAAGTTGTTCATTAGGTTGCAGTAGCACCCCCGTTGTTTTCTTTATCCTCTTTAAATCATCACCCATGTTTACAACAAGATTTTGTTCTACTTAAGGACCAACTTTGAGGAGGTGACTGATTTCTGCTGATCCTGGAGGTGGCTTCACAGGTTTCATTGTACTTGAAACTTCACAGCTTCCTCTGAAATGTTTGATGCATGTGTGTATCAGTTTAGCAGAGTACAAAAGTAGATTTTCATTCTTGCCTAATATTGTTGACAGAGTACAGGGTCCTCTACCAAAATAGTTTCTTTTTACTTGACAGCTTACAAAAACTCATTATCCTAAAGCCCAATCACCAGTATTAATAAAGTACTTCTTAAAAGAGTCATCTGGGCTCAGATACTTGTAATAATCTGCAAATATTTGTTAGTAATAAAATAAATTCAGAAATTTCTTTTATAAAAATGAGATAATATTCAGTAGTTATAGAAAAGGCATCTATGTTACACCCACTATCAGTGGTTAAAAAAGAAAAAAAAATGCTCACCTTGCATGTTTCAGTCAAACATAACTGGCAATTGCCATGTGAGCCACAGCCAAGGGCCCAGCCCTATTCTCCTGGCCAGGTTGTGAAGCTCTCAGTGGATTGGAGTTATACCAATAAGAAAGTCAGGAGAGGACAGGATCAGGCCCTAATGATGCCTGCACTGCAAACTGGGGCAAGTAAAGACTGCAGGGAGTCTTCTGCAGCACCTGCATCTTTCGCAGGGGGAAATCACCCACGGATAAAAACCTACCTAAACGAACAGAACACATGCTGACTTCAAGGGGAGGAGTATCACCAGGTCCTACTATGTTAGACTAGGAAGTATATCAGATCAAGAACTGCACGTCTTCTCACTACCGTGCTGCAATCACACAAACTTTCTGTCAACCGACGTCCTCAGCTCTTGGACCCGGGAGGATCTCTTATTCCATCGTCATCATCCTCGGGGCCAAACAGGCTTAGTGCACTTGTTACTGGATGGATCCAAGAGGTTGTCTGTGTTACATGACTAAAAAGAAACAAGAAAACAAGAAAGTTAATGCTTCATCAATTTAATTAAATATGAAGTGCCATGATAGAACTTCTCTGGATTTACCTTCTCAAGTGAAAACAGAATTTGCCTTTCTGTCTTCAAGAATCCTCTCCTAAAACATCTAATTACGGATAGTGATACTTTAACGAACTGACTTGGGAGTCAATGTTGCACTACAATAGCTTACAGGCATGGGCAGCACTTTTCAAACAACACGACTGTGCTATAGGTAGGAGAAAAAAAAAATCTATGATCACTGTGTTACGACATCTTGAGCTGCAGAACTCATTCCAGCAGTTGGAGAACCATGGAAGTTGAATGAACTAGACTCCATCCAGTCTGTTTTTCTGCCAATGCAAGATTTACCACCTGCAGCACTATTTTAAGTGTTTATATTGCCAGCTTTTATCAAACCAATTCCTAGAAATTCCTTACACAATATAACTAAGAATTTTTTTTTCCCCATTCAGGGTCTGTAGATATCCCTGTCCTAGCATGCCTTGATCTGCTATGCACTTTGTCTCTATTTTCTCCTGAGTACACAGCATCAACCTTGAAAAATGAGAGAAAATGCAATGAAATACAGGAGTTATGTGGAAAAGCACTCATGGTTCTTTGATGTAATGAATTAAAAAAATCTTCATTAAGTGTTTATTCTTCAGAGGATCCTCCTCCTACATACTTTAGGACCAAGGGGCGAAAGATAGTTACTTTCTGCTAACTGCTGTAAGAATTTGATTTTGTTCTTTTAGGAATAAATGCAAAAATTCTTATGATCTTTAATAGTGCAGCACTGCAGCACTTAAATCGGGAGTAATTTTGCTTTGTTCAATAGCATAACTTTGTTCATTCACGTGTAGGAAAAGAGAATTAGTTTTCATCCATTTTCAACCTATGTCGGCCACATTTTGCTCAAATGTCCATTTGCTGTAGATGCCTCTGATGTGAACTGAGTTGTTTCAGCCCTGCACTGGACTTTATCCCTTGAGCACTGCTAGTGGGATGGTTTGTTTGAAACTCTTAGCCGAAATCCTTACTAAGAAAAGAACTCTTAGAAACATTAAGTCCAGATACTGTCTCGCACTGTAGAACGACACGCAGATTATTTAGGTACAAAATAAATGTATAGCCACCCCTCCACCCTGTTTATTTTTAGTTCTCCACAAGTGCTGGTGCTGGGCTAAAGAGCTTTGACATAATCAGTCCGAAGAGATAATCCCAGATTTACTGGTTTGCAGAACATTCTTGTATTAGAGATACATCCTCTCTGATTTGTATGTTAGAGCCAGCAATAAAAGTGAGAGGGAATGCAAATCTACCTCCAGGCTTTGCTTAACTGAAGAAGAAACTACTTTGAATATTGCAGGAAGATTTGGAAGGCTAACATTACAAATTCTAAATGTAAAACACTTTCCATTTGCAAATGTTCTTGTTCAAAAGACCCTTTTCACCACATTTTCAGAGCAATTAACAATATCTAAAGATTTTTAGGTTTTCAAACAAATTACTGCTTATTGGAGGGCAGCCAAATTCATTGTTGGGAAACAGAAATATTTGATTTGAGAATACAGCAGTGGCTTATTCTGCCTTTTTTTTAAAAATATATTAGGAAATTGCAGGACAAATTTTAGGCCTTGTAAAAACAAAATATGAGAACACAAGATTGTTTTGGCAAATAAATGGTAGTAAATTATTTAAAATGCCATTATGATTATTTTCCTTATGACTCTTACTTCGTGTGGAAAATGGTTTCTTTTAAAAACGAGAATTCAGGACATTCTTTTAAGAAAAGAATACTTCAAAGGTAATACAAATTAATGGAACAGAATGTCTATTTGCTAGATTTTGAGCATTATCAAGGCATATTCTTCACCTTAAGTTATGTTCTCCATCAGGGCCAGGCTCTGGAGCCTCACAGGGGATGCAGAGAAGCCTGGCGGACAGCGGGATGCGGAGCTACGGAGCGAGCACGTCCCGCTCCGTGGAGGTTACTGTGTCGTGACAGGGGCCGTGGCCGTAAGTCTTGCCTTATTCTTCCAGCCCACCAGGGTTTCTGGGCTGGGGAAGGAACAATCTTGTGCAAGACCCGTTTGTTTGAGAACTGTTCAGGCAACATGATGCAGCCTTAAACCATTAATTAGCCAAACTCTCATAATGAATGGATTCATTAGGGGCCACTGAATGAGTTCTGCCAAGTAGGATTTAGTTGTATCTGAACTCGGAAAGCCAAATTCTGGCCTCATATGAACCCTGTGCTTCTCTATTAAATTGCGTGGCATTGAAGACGACCCCAGTGAAAGCAGAATTCTGCTCAGCTGAAATGGAAGACTGAGGTAACTCCTTTTTTCTCCTTAAATGAACACACCCAATAACCTAATCCATTTAATCTGCAATTGTAATTTTGCTAATGTCTAACCTTTATCTAGTTTTGTATTTCCCAAACTATACTAACCCCTCAAAATGCAATAATGATTTACTAAAGAGCATGGGTGCTTGCTGGAGCTTTTACTGATCTGTACCAACTGCAGAGTTTTGCAAAGCCACTGTTGAAACGCAGCTACCGCTGACTGGTTTAAGACAAACACAAAAAACCACATACTCCAAAAGCTTTAACCTTTAATACTTAACGTTTTTGCTACTAACACGATCACGAAAGAATCAAAAAAAAGCAAATAACACTGCTAGCTATAAAGGCAATGGTTTGGAAATGGGCACGAGCTATACTACCCAGAATATGGTCCACATGTGCCCTTTTGGACAGCCACACTTAGCCCAGTGCAAAAGGGGGACGTGCCCACTGCTGGCTCCATGGGGCCTATGTGGGTTTCTTTGCTATACATTAATGCACAGCGGTGACTTGGGGGCTAGTGAGAGCTAGAGCAACAGGAAAATAAAGTGAAGATTCTGAAGCCTAATCCTGCATCTGTAGGTTACACCATCTTCTGTGTTTTCTCTTGCACAGAATCTGTCTGGACTACACGTGGGTTTTCAATAATGGCTTTAATTAATCTCTTTGTCTTTTATTGTTGGACCTTTCTAGTTTTGCTTCTCTTATTCTCAGGCTAAGGTTTGCTTTGAAAGGATCTATTTTCTCCTTAAAATCCATCCTCCCAAATCTTACATCTATGAGGAGGCCCTCTGTACTTTGCTCTTTCCCTTCCATTTCACTCATATTTCTCTTCCTCTGAAAACCTCTACGGTTGGGATCAACATCCCTCATGCACCTGCTGAAAGGTGCCTAATGGTACCGCTTTCAAAAACCTGCTCCTGCACAAGTGGATGGTCCTCATTTGCCCCAGACACCTTGGTAGACCTTCACGTGCTGGAGAGCTGGGACAGAATCACTCTTCCTCGTGCCACCAGATGGCAATGGAGCATCCCAGGGAGTCCCAGGGACCTGCTGCTCCTCAAAGAACTCAACTAATTCTGTTGCTCTTCAATCTCTACCAGATCACGTTTCTAAATCACTCTACAGTCTGAATAAGCAGACTAATACAACGTGTAGCTACTGGTACTGCACCTAACAAATTTTGTGAATGCAGTCCTAATTTTATTTAGGATTGCACGCATTTTGGGAACACAATTGTTCCTTAGCTTTTAATACTTTGCTGTTGTCCCTTATGAATTTGAACTTGTTATTCATTTTTTATTTCCTTAGTGTCAATGTTTACCATGAAATAAGCTCTCCAAACTAGCATCCACTTATAGACCCAGTTATGGTTTTTGTCATGTTTCGTATCCCCTTTGAAAACGTCAGCAGTTGGGAGGCTTGGAAGTTGGAAGTTAAATGCTGTCTGGATACCCAGAGTAAAGCATTTGCAAAGACTCTTGCTATTTTGAAGTGCAAATGCCGGGAGGATCTGCCAGGAGTAACTACTACTTATCTGTAACTAAAGAATTTTAGTTTTGCAGACAAGGGATTGGGATAAAATGAAATAACTAAGTGAAGTTGACATTAGCATAGTCAGTCAATCCTGAGAGCATCTAGGGAAGAGACTTTCCAGACCTGAAACCTATCAACAGTTTGGGAAGGGATTTTGTATTGCATCTATCAAAACCTGATTATTTGAAATCAATTCCTCTTTTTTTTTTTTCTTTTTCATTTTTGTTAAAATGAGCTTGAAACTAGACTCGCTTTCAAGACTATGTTTCATAAGAAACATACTGCGTATAAACTACTCTAAGAGAGGCTAAGCAGGTCCTGAAAGATGGCAGTGACCTTACGTTTATTGGCTGTAATAAGACTGAGAGTACTTGTCACCTCATTGGACTGTGCCCTAAGGTGACGTAAATCCATTTTTTATTTCCCTCAGGGACTGCAGATTTTGCTTCGACAATGATTAAAAACAGGGGATACAAAGTGAAACTCTAGTAGAGAGTCTCACTATTTATTCCTTGATTAAACCAATTAAGCATTTGCCTATCATGGAAAAAATATATGAGCAATTTCAGACAGCAGTTATCTCTGGAAAAAAGCATTTATTCATCCAAATAGCCTACTATATTATTAAAAATCTTCAACAGTAATGGCTCAGTCTAAAACCAAACCAGTAATCTGATCAACAAGTAGGATCTGAGCCAAGGGTAAGGTGAAATGCTTCAGTGATAGCATATGCAAACGTTTCAGCTTTAAAGCTCTCAGTGAAGTGCATCTCATCCCTGTATTAGCCAACTGCTGCTGCTCTCAAAGTGCTGTTTTAGTAATAGACGTGGTTACTCCCAATCCTGGGTCTGTACGTGTCAACACCATAAAAATGTATTTTAGTGCAGCGTATTTACAGTGGCAGCAGGACAAGGATGAGCGGTGCCAGCTCTGCACGTTCAGCCAAGCAAGGCCAGCACAGCTCCAACGCGGGATGGGAACCCAGCCCATTCCCAGGGCAGGCTGAGGGGGATCAGGCCCCTTCCCCGCGTGCCCATCCTGCAGGCAACACAAAGGGTCCTTCTAGGAGGAATCGTGCCACCAGTTTGCCCAC